GTTGGTAAATAAATATTGTTCATAAGCGGGAGGAATATATTGAAATTTCTTGATGACGTAAAACTTCATTAGCCAAACTTCTACACTTAACATATTTACAATTTTTACTGAAACATCCAAATTAAAATTATATTTGCTACCTAACTTTGATCTAAAGCTTATGAAAAGCCGCGATACTAAATCTTTCATGGACCAATTCAATTTATCAACACAATCTTCCGGCATAGCAAAATTGATATCTGTTGAACATTTATTATATTGCGCTTCTGATGTCATTGATATTTGTTTGCCTTTTAAAATTGTCTTCAACTTACTTTATATTCACTCTTCTTTTAATATCAAATTCGGATTCCCTTAATCCTATTTAAGATTTTCCAAGGAAACACGAAGATCATAAAACGTTACTTTCATCCTTACTGTTACAGAAATAAATTAGAAATCAAATCGTACGATCGTATTCTATTAGTCCCATTTTTGTTTAGTTTAATTTTTAAGTTTTTAAGTTTTTATTAGATTTAGTTAGACTTTTTGTAGATCGTTGGCCTGTCCCTGGCCAAATTGTCTCCTGGCCATTATGGTTTGAGGACAAAAAGGCCTCCGAACAATTTATTCCTTGCTGAGTTTTAAGTATAAAAGAAGGGGATTTCAATTGAGTAGAAAGTAGTGTTCCAAAAGTTCCCTACATAAAAACAATAGATAGTATTAGATAGCGGTTAACATATATCCCCTTTCCTTAACGTAAATAATGATTACGTATCTGATTGTATAGAGCGCCGACGATTGAGGCAATACCTTATTTACGTAGATTTATGTTAGAATTCAATTGTTATTAATAAAACATTTTAATAAAGAAACCTTCTGCTTAATTTTTCTTTTGTTTATAACCTCTAGAAAAGTGTAGGGTCGGCTTTGATCTAGTTTCATATTTAATTCCTTGTTTCAATGAATCATCCTTTATCCATTTTTAGTTTCAGGCAAAATAGGTAAAATATACCGATTGACATCAGCTCATTGTATGAACTTTTCTGAGTCTCGGAAATTAGATTTCTTTGATATAATAGCTTGAAGACAATATTCAATTTTTCCTCGTCTTTTATCAATGGACATATAGTTATCTATTATTATATTTAAATTTATAATTTATAAAAAAATATAATAATTTATATTTTTAATAGGGATCCGTATAAAAATATCGATTTTTTTAATATAGATCTAGAAATTTATTCCTCCTGCATGTGCCATTAAAAAAAAACTTGTGTGATCAATGGATAACAATCGACAATGGAAAAGTGTCTATTGTACCAATGGATATATCCATTGCCAACGCTGATTGTAGCACAACGCAATCCATCGAGAATTCGATTGTAAGCGCCATAAAATGAGCATAATTAAGGAAAGGAAGAAAGTCGAACTCTTTAAAAGTATTTGTAAACTTCCTCCCTACAATACATTGTATATTGTGGACTTGCCGCGTAATAAAATTATTTTTGTCTATTTTTCTAGTTTCATTGTATTCGCCTATATAATTATTTTTCTTTGGATTTTTCTGAATTTATTCTTTATTTTAAATTTTTAATTTTTATTGTATATGAAAATATAATATTCATAAAAAAACGTGGTATATTTGTATTTGGAAAGATTTATATCGATATTTTAGGTTAAATATGGTTGAAAAAAATCTAACTGTTTATCCATTTCTCTCATTCTTGAAACCAATTAGTTGGAAGATGAAGTTGGTGAAAGATCCGGATATTAAAATATTATATGCTACCCGTTCCCCGAGAGTTTTGGCCTCAAGACCAAAAAATGTTGATGATGGCTTGGCTCATTTTAAATTGCCAAATATTTAACTGGAAACCTTTCAAGTTGATTTAATACATATATCTTTTTATTTTATTTTTTTTTTTTAATTAAAGATTTAAAAAAATTTTTTTTTGTGAAAGATATATATTTATGCAAGTATATTAAGCTATCAATCTAATAATTATCAGATCTTCAATAATTTTGTACGGATTTAATGGTTAAACACTTGAAAAAATATTCCAATCACTTAATTTGCTACACTTCCAGAAAATCATTATTATCAATCATTAGAGATAATTTACAAATGTAGGAGGTTGAGTGAACATGATTTAAAAGGGGACAAGCACGAAATCCAAACATCATACAGATCCGCAACTGTGACGGAATGAATGATACTTCAAAATGATGGAGAATTCTTTACAACGATGCTTATCTTTGATCAGATTTTTTAGTTTATCATCTAAAGAATTCACACAAAAAGAACGACCATTTAAGAAGTTGTTAAATCTTCTTTATGAGCATTTATTAAAATCCTATTTGGATCCTGATAATGAACCAACAGACGAAATTTTTCTCCAGGAGCATCAAAACCAATAACTTCATTAACTCAAAAATCATTAAGTTCAATGATATCAAGATGGATTAAGATGGATTGAAATTAAGTGGAAGTTAATATTAAATACTCTCATTTAATAGAGTTATAACTACCATATTATTATTGAGCTGAAATGGATTTAATCTTAAAACTTATCACAAATTATGCGATGATAAACCGATTACTGTCAAGGGAAATATTGGGAGGAAATAATCTTTTAATATTGTTATCTACGGATGGGGTAAAACTAAATATTTCATTTATTGTGTGAACGGTGATCTTGTGATATGTTCATCAAGTGAATACTTTATAGGATTTGGTGAATACGACGACATTTATTGTAAAAGAATAAAGATAAGGCATTTTAAAGATGTATTCTCTATATATGATATTGAAATATTTCACATTAAAAAGAGAAAATAATTAAATTGTAATCTGGTTTTATTTAGAGACAGAATAAATTTAAATTATATAATAAACTCCATTTGATCTACAAGATGTCTTCCTATTATCTTTATATTTTTTTTTCTCCAAAAATTCTTGAGAACACAATTTACAAATGATCCATGTTGTAGTTAACGAAGAGATGTTATTGAGTGAAAAATTGGTGGTAATCATTACTAAATTTACTAACTTTTTCGCTTAATTG